AAATAAACTTCAATTATACAAGTGCTTTCAGTTAAACCATTATAACCTTCTTCGGGTATATTAAAAAAATTAAATGGAACAATGAATATTCTTGCAGAAGTAAAAAACAGATTCCTTTGTAAGAATATTCATTTAAATTTAAATTTTATTCCATTCCATCTACTCATTGCAACATTTTAAGTTTATTATCTATTATATTGTACAGGGCATAAACCTTCACTAACTTACATTAACTAATTTAATATATTGTTAAATTTCTTCAAGTTCAGCAAATCATGGCCAATACTATCAACTATTTGAAAAATAACTGCTTTTTCTGGAAGCCACAGTTTATTAGTACACAGGGAATGTTGTCAGCCTATCTTAACCAACATTAGTTTATACCACATATACAAATGTTCAAAAAATGGAACATCCATTTTATTAACTTATTACACTTAGAACAATACTTTAAATATATTTAATATATTTAAATTGAAATTATTTAAAAATGCTACTTAATAAGGGATAGGTTGGAATAATTAAACAACATTAAGGTGTTAAGAGAACAAATATGTGAAATAACTAAAATGGATATTCCATACATAGAACATAAAGAAATATACTTAAATATAAGGTACATACTGGATAACAAACTAAGAATAAAACACACCTTTAAAATTTTTAAATCCAGAAAATTAATATTAATATTTTATTAATATTTATATTAATAAAATAAAAATGTTTGACTGTTTTTTTATGTTAACTGAGGAAAATCATTAAAAAATGGTTTTATTTTATTAATATTTATTTGCTGGATTTTTAAAGATGTGTTTTATTCTTATAAAGAAATATATATCTCTCACTCGTCTAATTACTTGAGACAATATAACTCCACCTCAATGCATTTCAGTTTGGTTTGATGTACACACTACCATCTAATATTCATTTGGAAGACTTAATACTAGACATTGAGCAAATTACTTATGGGTTGAACAACATCAGAAAAACTTACTGAGGGAAAGCTCCTTCCAAGCACAAGATATGAAAACCAATCATAATGCATAACATTTTTGGAACATACTCCATAACAGGAAGTCATGGTTAAAATGGAATATAGTCCTCCTGAAAACTGACAAAATAAAAGCAGTTGTCTTATTAAAAAGCACCACCTTCATGAACAGATTGAATGAATATATTACTGACACTGAATGCTCTCAAGCCCAACATGACTTTCTGTTTGTTACGACAGAGGGTCAATAAGTTTACTGAAATCTCCCTTAGGCACATCTGTTAAAAATACAACATTCAATTATCCTTTCAATAAAGTAGCACAACTACTTGCTTTTGCCAAAACCTATAAACCTGGCACACAACTAAGCTTGTCATTGAAATGCTCTTTGCACACTTTCTTATTAGAAAAACAGCTTGTCAAATTCATTAACTCTAAATTGACATAACATCCATCCACATAAACAACTCCAAACAACTATTAGAATAGTTACAAACTGCAGCTTTACACCCACATGAAAATTGAATGTTGTCCATCTCAATATCCACTGTAGTCACAGCCACATTAATTAAATGCAGGCATCCACATATACATGCATTCAATTGTAGAGATGTTGGATGACAACCTTCTAGATGGCATTCTACACCAGTTGCATCTGTAGAGTTAGATTAGCATGGTTGTTGCTGGTCATAGATGTGCCTGGTCCATTATTCAATCATGTCCCACACATGCTTTATTAGTGAAAGATTGTAGGGTAACACATTGATATCTGAAAGAGCATATCAGGTTGCAACTGCAATATGGGAATGGGCATTATCCTGTTGAGACAGGTCCCCTCAATACTCTTCATGAATGGCAGAACAAAGGCTTCAATCACCATTATGATGTAAATGTTTGCTGTTATGGTATTTGGGCACAGATATAAACATAATATATTTCCAAATTATAGCCCAATTTTTTACAGTAATCGTGGGTATTTATTTACATGGTATTTGGGATAACACTGGTCTAACTCTTGTTTGCTTGCCAACAGATATTCTCTAGGCCTCCTCTTGATCTACATAAATCCATCACTGGTACCAAGGCAAAAATGGCTCCTTATCTGTGAAAACCACAGAATTCCATTCTGCATTCCAATGACACTATTTGTGGGACACCACTGAAGATGCATCTGATGCTGGGTAGCAGTAAGCAGAAAACATGCCACAGGACATCTAGAGCAGAGGCTAATCTCTAGTAGGTGGTTCTGAACAGTTCTTGTGATGATACCAGGTCACTGCTTCTAATTTGCATTTGCTATGATATTTGTACAGTACATGTATGTCTTTGAAACTATTTTCAGTGTAATAAATCATATCGATGAATATTCTGTGTAATTTTTATTCACCTACTATAACACTATCTTAGTGTTGGGATTTCCATTTCCAGCAGTGAATTCTTGTAGCAACTGATGAAGATGTATCAATCTAGATTAAATATGTTTTTGTCATTAAATTGATTTGCTGAAATTAAGAAAGGGAGTTTCTTTTATAATCAATATGTTTTAATAATTACATAGAGTTGATAAAATTTAATTTAGGAGAGAATTTTTTGATGAGTGTATTAGGAAAATGATAAACTACACAATAACTGTTTTTGTACATGTGGCCTGCGGGTTGGACACCCCTGCTCTAAATGATTATTTAGTAAATTAATTCAAAATATTAAGTTAAATAAAATTAAATTTATTTACAAAACAAATTAATGTTCTAAATAATTTTCAAATCAAACAAAATGAGATGTATTTGCCCTTGAAGTGTGGAGTGGTATATCAGAGTGGTTAAACATCATCATCTTCTTCCTAGTATTGAAGTCCTGCTTCTATGCAGGGTCCAATTTCTTGCATGCCCTTCTATATTTGGTACGGTCCAATGCGTTTTCCAGAATGACATTAATTAACCCTCCTCATGTCATCTTGCAGTCAATCCATCCACCTCATTTTGGGGCGCCCTTGGGGTCGTCATCCAGATGGGCTGAGTTGTAATGCTGTCTTCACTACTGAGTGTTTATCACTATGTATGACATGGCCATACCATCTGAGTCTTGCTTCCCACATCTTTTCAGATATAGGGGCCACTCTCATGATCTTTCGGATGTCTTCATTCAGGATGTGGCTGAGTCGAGTAAAGCCGAGGAACCAGTGAAGCATCTTCATTTCCATGGTATGGAGAATTTGTTCATGGCGGGTGCTTGATGGCCAGCATTCTGACCCGTATAGGGCCACTGGGCGGATGATGGATTTGTAGACTTTCGCCTTCAGCCAGGTCTGCATACAACGGTTACAGTTAGCGCATTACAACATAGTGCATTGCTGCCACTTTAGTCAGGCTGCATTGGCTCGTGCCTTTGCATCAAGGGTGGTTTCACCATCATTGCTGATGAGTGAGTCAAGGTATTTGAACTGAGTGGGCTTCTTAAGGTCTTCTCCCTTAATGTTAATCGACCTGTTGGTCTGGGCCCCACACTCTAGGTATTCTGTCTTCTTGATGTTGAGCCTGAAGCCAACACCAGCAAGGCAGTCATCCCACTGGAGGACTTGGTCCTGTAACTCCTGTCTCGACTCTGCTGCAAGGAGGATGTCATCTGCATAGAGTAGAGTCCACAGGTGTGGGATGTTGAATATTGGCTGTTGTACAGTCCATGCAGAGAATGAAAAGGAGGGGTGAGAGGACTAATCCCTGGTGTACACCAGTTTTAATGCTGAACAGGGGTGAGGTTCTCACTGGACATCTGACCACACTGGTTACATCAGTGTACAGGAGCTGGGTCCATTGAACTTAGGCTTCTCGGACACCATGGTCTCTGAGTGAGCGCCAGATAAAGTCATGTCAAACACGGTCAAATGCTTTCTCCAAGTCCAGGAAGGCTATATGGAGAGTTTTGTTCTTCTCCCGGTATCGTTTGTGAAGTAGTCAGGCAGCATGTATTGCATCAGTTGTTCCACAACCTTTAATGAATCCACATTGGTATGGAGTCAGGTTGACAATCTGGCAAAACAGAGTGTCGAGTATTCGCTCAAATATCTTCATGGCATGGCACAAGAGTCAGATTGGTCAGTAGTTGGCACAGTCTGCCACATCGCCTTTACCCTTCCAAATTGGCACCGTGATGCTAGTTGACCAGATTGGTGGCACTTAGGGTTTCTCATTTCCCGGGAAATTTGCCTCCAGCGGGATTACGGGAAAAATAATTTCTTTTCCCGNATATTTGTACAGTACATGTATGTCTTTGAAACTATTTTCAGTGTAATAAATCATATCGATGAATATTCTGTGTAATTTTTATTCACCTACTATAACACTATCTTAGTGTTGGGATTTCCATTTCCAGCAGTGAATTCTTGTAGCAACTGATGAAGATGTATCAATCTAGATTAAATATGTTTTTGTCATTAAATTGATTTGCTGAAATTAAGAAAGGGAGTTTCTTTTATAATCAATATGTTTTAATAATTACATAGAGTTGATAAAATTTAATTTAGGAGAGAATTTTTTGATGAGTGTATTAGGAAAATGATAAACTACACAATAACTGTTTTTGTACTTAATATACAATGGATAATATATAGTTATTTGAAAATTAATGTGTTTTGTATTCCAGAAATAAATTTTTTTATTTATAAGAATTTTTAGTTTCTTATGGTACAATGTATAAATTTCAGTTTTATAATGAGTACATATAATTATACATACTCATTATGAGTATTTTGACCAGCTGACAAGACTCATCATGTTGACCAGTGTAATTTATAATATAGTCTACTAGTATATCCAGTGCCATAACTAGCTTTTCATGTGCCCCATGCAAGATTTTATTTTTAGCCCTATTTTTTCTGGAAAAAAATATATATATTAAAAAAACAAATGCAACAAGAATGGTTGATTAATTTTTAACTTTAACAAAACACATTATGGAATCAGTCCCAAAGACAAAAAATTTTTAACTTGAAAATGGAACTATAATACTGAACATTTTTGATGTCCCATTCAGGGTCCTCCTTTGTCCTGGGGCCTATGATTGTACATCCACTGCATCTTCATAGTTATGTTACTGATTATATCTGTGAAAACTAGATAAAATTTTCTATTCTCAACATTCTCAAGCAACAGAGAGTATTTAATTCAACAAATAAAACCTAAAAACAAAAACAATTTTCTAAAATTAAATGTTTTGAAAAATATAAAATCATCAATTCAAAAANGCAGTGAATTCTTGTAGCAACTGATGAAGATGTATCAATCTAGATTAAATATGTTTTTGTCATTAAATTGATTTGCTGAAATTAAGAAAGGGAGTTTCTTTTATAATCAATATGTTTTAATAATTACATAGAGTTGATAAAATTTAATTTAGGAGAGAATTTTTTGATGAGTGTATTAGGAAAATGATAAACTACACAATAACTGTTTTTGTACTTAATATACAATGGATAATATATAGTTATTTGAAAATTAATGTGTTTTGTATTCCAGAAATAAATTTTTTTATTTATAAGAATTTTTAGTTTCTTATGGTACAATGTATAAATTTCAGTTTTATAATGAGTACATATAATTATACATACTCATTATGAGTATTTTGACCAGCTGACAAGACTCATCATGTTGACCAGTGTAATTTATAATATAGTCTACTAGTATATCCAGTGCCATAACTAGCTTTTCATGTGCCCCATGCAAGATTTTATTTTTAGCCCTATTTTTTCTGGAAAAAAATATATATATTAAAAAAACAAATGCAACAAGAATGGTTGATTAATTTTTAACTTTAACAAAACACATTATGGAATCAGTCCCAAAGACAAAAAATTTTTAACTTGAAAATGGAACTATAATACTGAACATTTTTGATGTCCCATTCAGGGTCCTCCTTTGTCCTGGGGCCTATGATTGTACATCCACTGCATCTTCATAGTTATGTTACTGATTATATCTGTGAAAACTAGATAAAATTTTCTATTCTCAACATTCTCAAGCAACAGAGAGTATTTAATTCAACAAATAAAACCTAAAAACAAAAACAATTTTCTAAAATTAAATGTTTTGAAAAATATAAAATCATCAATTCAAAAATTATTATTATTATGTATTTAAGTACAATGATATTTATGAAATTCTGTTCATTAAGTAGACATAATTATTATTCTTATTATAATATGATTTTCTCATTAAAACAACTAATAAGCAGAAACTGTTTACTAAACAGAAAATCAAGATTAAATTGTTAAAATTTTTATTATTTCTATCAAAAAATATTAGCTTCTAGGTTATCTTAAGTTAACAAATGATAATTCTGCATTTAAAGTATTGAAAATCTAAATTTAGTTTAATTTACAGTTGTATCTTTGAAGATTTATTAAACATTAGTTTTCCTTATTTAATATTTAAATGATGACTTTATTATTATTAAGTCATCATTTAAATATTAAATAAAGAAATAGTGAAATTCAAATATATTGGAATTTCACAATCTTAATTTCCAATATACTGAATATAAAAATAAACCTTTTTAAATTTTGATGTATGGAAAAAATTTGTCTTCAGTATAAGAAGCAAAAATCCTTGTAGTTTTAATAAACAACCAACAAATACAAAAGTCAAGTTTAGCGATTGGATATCTGTGTTAGTACTAATAAGGTATCCATACTTAAGATTCAGGCTGATTGAAATTTAGATATACTGATTATAAAAAGAGAATAATACTATATCCATCAACCTTATTTTTTATTGAAGAATCTAAACTTAATTTTTAAGATATTTATTTTTTTAATCATGTAATAGTAAGAAATAATAAATAAGTATATTATTAACCTAAAGCATCCAAAATATATTCTACAAAAGAAATATATGAAGATGATGTTAAGAATTAAAAGAGAAATTATAAAAATCAAAAATACAGTTTTTGGTCCCTTTAAGAATGAATGTTAAAAATCATTATCTGGCTGTTTCATAATATATTATGTGAATTAAATGTTTCCAACTTAAATTTATTCTATTTTCTTACTCAAATGATTTTTCAGTTTTATAATGATATCTGATTAACACAGTCAGTCAAAGTATTTAGCATGAATTCGAAGATTTGGCTTTCACCCAAAAGATAAATTTTTGAACATATGCCAAATTTACAATTTTTGAATTAATATAAGTTTACGTAATAAATTTTATATTTGTTTACATTATTTAGTTTTCAAAATGCCTGCAATATTTTTATGGCTATTTGTTGCAACAATAAAATACAGGAAGAATTTATCAAATGCTATGTTATTATTATTATAGGTTCCTTGTGACATTAAGAATAACAGTGACTGGAAATTACTTAAATAATTAGAAACTGTAAAGTAATATAAATTATGCAAAAGTTGTTTAATACAGATAAAAAAATTTTGTTACTTTTACATTTGGAGTTAGATTTTGAATTATTTTCAAATGTTCTTTCTTTTCATATTAAATTTTTAGTGTTTCTGGTATCACAGTAAACCCATCTTATTAGTTTTATTTTATATTTATTGTTTTTGACAGCTTAGAAGATTATCAAATTATGCTAGTAATTACAGAGATCAGCACATGTCTCTAATTGGCCTTTTCAAATTTGAACGCTACACAACTATTCTATTCGGGGCATTCCAATTTGAAACAAACTACAGTAGAAACTCCATTATCTGGATTTTCGATTATCCGGATTGTTCAAAATAAACAAAAATATTACGAATTTGCTGATTTGCACTTGGCGAATTACGATACTGTTTATGTACGTGATGGAATGCATAACGTTTTTTGTTTCAACAACGTCTCACAAGGCACAGTGGCCGTAAACTCTTAAATATATTTTACGTAGTAATAAAAATATAACTTGACATACGTATTTATAAATAATTTATATTCAAATTACATCATTTCTATGACTAAGGGCGGCGTAAGGCATGGATGACGTGGGCCACCGTCTATGCCTCGCAGTCCGAAGGGCTTCGCGTTTCGAAGGTTTATGCATTACTTAAAAGCCACGAACGCGACGAAAAAATTTTACTCGTCATGAAACGATAAATAGTTTGTCAAATTTTTATTCATAAAAATGCAGTTTCAACTGCTTTTTATTTTATAAAATCCGTCTTCTTGCGCCACCAGAGGGTTTTTTAAACAATAGGTAGTCTGTTAGCGTTGGTCAGTAGTAGTCCTAATTCAATACGAACGTTTGTTTCTTGAAAATTTGATCACGATTTAAATACATTATTTACTTTTAATATTACTGATATGTCATCGAAAAGAAAACGTGTTGTATTATCATTAAAAGACAAATTAAAGTATTTGTTTCGATTATCCGGATTTTTCCTTATCCGGACTACCTTCATCCCCAATTAGTCCGGATAATCGAGGTTCTACTGTATTTCAACCTGAAGCTGGAATCAGATAAATTCTGAAAACGTTTCTGATTTGTTTCACTTTCTGTGTTTAACTGGATGCTAAAGAGGTTCTGTGATTAGATATAAATAGCATGTAAAATTCAATTGATGATTTTTTACATTAAAATACAAATGTTTTTCAAGTTTAAATATGTAGTGCCTTATTGCAAATTACAAACCCTATTTATCTGGATCAATAAAAATCTGGATAAATCAAGATTAGTGGGATATTTGAAATAAAAGAGAAAAATTCCAACTGAAAATATTTTTAATGATTGAAAATGAAATTACATGCTTTACTGACTTGAAAACAATAGGAACATTAACATCATATAAACAGGAATATAAAAATTACTCAGCACATACAAACAATATGTATTTTTATACTTGTAAGTGTGAGATTGCTACTTACAAGGATAAAAAATGTTTCAAGGATCTCACAGACATCTCAAAAATATTTTTCTACAAAATGTGTAAAAATTTAAAAAGAAATGACTATTCAAACCAATCTGGATGAACAGGATCTAGATAAATGGGGTTTGAATGTAATCCATACTATATTTCTGTGCATATAAGATCACGTTCTTATATGTAAAAATTGCTTTTTTCACAGTTTTGAAACATGTCCTACTTTGCTTATAAGAACATGCTTTTTTGTGTGCACAGTATTTGTTTCAGAGTGATTAATAGTTCATGCAACAACTTACAGACAATATATGTTATCAGTAAATCATATTTAATACTTATTTGTATTTTAGTTTACTAAAATTATCTTGCAGCACAGTAATTTTGAACATTATTATTATTATTATTATTCATGTCAGAATTATTATAAAAATTTTTAAAATGAAATGAATGCATACAAACTATTTTTATATGCAAATTATGATTATATTATCTAATGTGATTTACTTAATATAATTATGTTGTAGCAAAATATCATGTAATTCCAAAACACGTTAGTCACTGATAAGTTAAGTGCCTTGGTTGGAATCATGTAAGACATAGCAATTATCCAGGATTTAAAGTTATTTTAGAAGTCAAAATGCAATCATAGACTATATATATATATATATAGCATAAACCAGTATTCCGCAACCTTTTTCTACTTGCGGCACACCCATGACTCACCCACAGCACACCAAAATGTTATTCCCCTCAAAAACGTATATGATACTATTAATAAAATTACGTAATGCCACTAACCCATTATTATTGTTATTAAACAGACATGAACACCTACCTGTGAACAAATTAATTTTACATATAATTTCTTAGAATACATAAAAATGTGTGGCTTGTAATAAAGAATAAACAAACATCATCTTATTTCATCAGTGCTGCGGTAGAGAATGAAATACAAGCATAAGAAACACAACAACTGTGATAAAAATATCTATTAATGCGAGATCTTAAAGACTCAGTGAAGTTAAATAATTTCAGTCTCAAAGCCGTGGACAAAAAATATCTTAATTATTCTAAAAAACTTGGTAAAACAGTAAATACAATCTTCCTTATGGTTAATTTATTTAAAATAATTCCATTCCTCAAAAATATCTTCAAACAAAATTTTTAGAAGCTAAAATTCTAGCTTTAAAATCTGTTGTTAAGAAATTCATATTGATTTTTGAACATAGTTGTGCACAAATTTTTAGTTTATTTATAACTAAAAATTAATATTTAATGCATTAAATGTAATCAGTTCACTTTTAATAAAATATTGATATATTGCAAA